AAACAAACAAAAAACAAACAAAAAAAAAAAGGGGAAAGGGACTTTGGCACATTAAAAAAACATCCCTGGGATAGAAAACTAGCCAAGCCAAAAAGACTGACTTTTGTGGTCACTTTAAATATAAAAAAAATAAAGAAATAACAAAAATCACAGAAATACAGTTCATGATATGTGTAACGATGTTTTTGCACAAATAGGGGTAAGAGAACAATTTCATACAATACTTAAAAAAAAAAAAAAAAAAAAAAAAATGGTTCAACATCCTGTGGGTATAAAAATAAACCTGCCTTGAGGTTTTCTTGCAGAGGATCCCTCCTTTATGCAACCTCCCTTTCCCTTCCCTCAGCTCCCTCATTTCTAGTAATCTGTCCCGTCCTCTTGGTACACCTGCTCCTCTTCCTGGTAACCCTGGTAACCCTCATCTTGGTAATCTGGGAGGTATTCGCGGCCGACGGCTGCCCCGTTCTGATCGTCTGAAACCTCTCCAGCTTTAGGGCAGTACTTGGCATCATAGATCTGCCGTCCCAGGCCAAAGTTCTGGCCACTCTGGTTGGCTCCCTGGCTGAAGCCCATCTGCAGGGACATGGTGCTGTTGTCACACTTGTCTGTGCCCAGCTTCTGGTCGTAAATGGCACGCCTTGTCCCTGGAGCCGTCATGCCAGCCTGTAGTAGAGGCAGATGGAAAAAGAAAACATTTAATCTCCTTTTTAAAAACTTATATAAAAACTTTATAGGACACTTGATTCCAGTTTTAGGCATTAAAATGTTCTTAAAGGTTCTAAGTGCTCACTTCACTGAGCCCACATGATTGGCCAAACAGATCAAGTGTCATTTTTATTTTTTTTTTCTTAGTAGAGATGGTCCTGCACTACAGAGCAAGTTCTTTTCGTTATCTGAGCCGACTAAGCCTAGCAACCACAATCACGTTAGGCGGTCACACGACGGTGGTTATCAACTCATTAAGTCAACCCAGGGTTTCCCCAATCCTGCCATGAGCGCATTCACATAAAAAGGGACGGTGTTTGCAGGATATGACCAACTGCAAACATGGACAAGTCTACTGGCAGGAGAGCAAATTATTATATTACACAGATAGGAAGATGTTTAACACATAATCCAGGCCTAAAACAACAGATCTTCTGCATGAAAAGCTGCCAAATGCAGGAAGTGCATCTAAGCAACAGTTAATTAACATGTTGCTTAGATGTATTCTTACGGCGTGTATGACAATTATTTTCCTCAGCAGGGGTAAAAAAAAAAAAAAGACTTTAGATTGCTGCCTCTTGGCCAGGTCATCATTATAAATGAGCATCGGTTTTTAAATTGACTCAAATAAAATAAATATAAAAAAAAAAAATAAAAAAAAAATAAAAAAATAGGCAAGTAGGCTTACTTTTATATACAAGTAGAAGGCTTTAGTGCTTCAGTCTTTGTTGAAGGAGGATATCAGTATGCAAAAGCACAATGAAATGGCTTTGACGTTACTCGTAGCCAACACTAAAAAATTAAACAGAGACAGGAGGGGGCCCTGAGCTGGCCCTCTGCAATAATACAGGTTGCCCCTTAACAGCATAGAGGCTGACACAGAAAAGTCAGTCCTTCTGACGAGAATATGTCTCTCATAAAGAAAACCTTTAGAGAAAGCCAAAAGGGCTATGCTGGTGTCTGCGCACTGCTCTACAGGATCTTCTATGAATGTTGATGCATCTTTCCCAGAGTATTACTTGTCAGTAGGCAGTCATTTTATACACAATGATCTCTTATTGCAAACACATAACCAGCAGCTGGGCAGGTTGGGTGTGCAGCACTAGTTGCCATGGTGATGTTCTGGTAAGAAGTGAATCACCGCCATAACCTTGAAAAAGCAAAGGGTTATTCCGAAGTTACCTCAGCAACTCCAAATCCTGCTTTGCAGTACAGACCTCAGGAATTTACAGCTTTACAAGACTTAACCTGACATTCGTTTACAGCAGCGGAAGGACGTGGAATAAGTGATGCCCTGAGGCTTATTTCCACTGGAGTCCTACTATATTGGATTAATACGAAGTTGGGAATGTGTTGCAGTACCTGGCTCGCCCCCTTGTTGGTTCCCATTTGCAGGCTGATGGTTGTGTTGTCCATGGGGGGCAGGATTTGACCTTTGGGGTCATATAAGTGCCTCCTGGTGCCATATGCATTCATACCTGCCTGACTGGCACACTTGTTGGTCCCCATCTGCAGTAAAGACAGTAACAGCACAATAAATTGACTTATTGGAGTTGCAAAACAAACGTCGGTAAACAAAACAGTGGTACAATGCTGCATTGTATCGCGGCATTTTTCATCTCTTCAGCAAGAATGCGACATGACAGTAGGAAGACACACTTCAAAGTTTCAGTCAGCGATCTGCTCGGACTACACAATCCTCTAAAGACGCTGTAAACAGTAAGTTGTTGGGTAGGTTTTTCACTGTTTAGGCAGCCCTCATGTTTACTTGACATATTTCTCTGTGACGGAAACAAAAAAACAGAGGCTTCAGCGGAAGAGAGAACAATGAGCAGCTCTTACATTTTGACATGAGGTTATGACAGTATGGTTTCACAATAGTTTCAGCACACGCAGTATCGAGCTCAGCTCTGCAAGCACAAGAAGTGCCTCACCTCCGTCAGATCCAGCCAAAGAGATAATACGCTGTAACTTGTTTTCTGGAGTGATTATGTCATGTGAAATACATTTTTTTTTTAAATATTTCATTTACTTTACAGTCCTCTTCACATTTGACTATTTGCTTTGAGTATCACTGTCAGACTAGTACCAATACTAACTTCAGCTATGTGACTGCAAATAAAAGGGCAATTGTCTAATTTAAAGTTACAAATAAATGGAGAAGTAGTTCAAGTTTCAGATCTAAAACTGAGCTGCTGCTGACTCTCTTCACATTTTAAACCAGCTGTTCAACCAAAAATAAGCCCAAAAAACTCGTACTTGTAGGCCGATGACGCACTGTCCAGCCTTCATCTTCTCCTCATCAAACATCCTCTCCTGCTTGTCAGCGTACTTCACGCCAATGTCCACTCGAGACTGGCAGCCCTTGGTCTTCGCCTGAGAGAAAAGGAGTTTAAAAAAAAAAGGTTGTCATGCAGATATTCTAATATCAAAATACACCATAAAAAAAAAAATAACTGGAGAACAGAGATGATAGGAAACATTACTCCCAGTACCAGTGTCAGATTTTTAAGACTCACCAAATTAGCGAGAGCGAGCAGCGTCGTCTGGACCTGCGTCATGTTGCCGTTCTCAAACAGATCGTTGGCTTCGAAGAGATCATGAGGTTTCAGGCCGTACACCGTGGTGGCCTTGATGAAGTTTGTCAGGTTCTCCAGCTAAAACCACACCAATTTCAAACAAGCTCAAACACAATGTGTGTGCAGGATTTACGGGATTATGTCTCTGTTTGCTGACCATCGAAGATGTTATTATCGAGAAGATGCAGTCTTACAGCTGTAAAAACATTCAGCTGGTCTCAAATGAAGGGAGTGCGTTTACTGTGACTGGGTACACCTCCAGCAAAGAAGCCATATTCAGAAAAGGCTCTATAGCAGTGGCAGTAAAAGAAAGAGAAGCTCGCAACGCTGCCAACATGACCCAGCATGATTCAGTGTACTAACATCCTAACTGGTAGAAAACGCTCAGCACAATACGGCAGCACAGGGAACCATTTGTTAACTATGTACAAAAGCAAATCTCTCACTGTGTGCATCATCACTAGTGTCAATGAACATTAGGTGCTAATTTTGCCGTGCCCTCAACTGGGGAAAAAGCATGCGTCATCATCTAACTCACCTGGTGCCAGTTCAGCGCCGACTTGTTGATCTTTTTCACAGAGCCTGGAGCAAGCTTGTTGATAAGTCTGTGAGAATAACAGAGATAGAAGAGGAAAATATTTAAGTTTTCCAAACCACTGTACGTATTAAAAACAGATGATCAATGCCGTCATGGTGCCAGTGTAACAATCTGCCATCTCTGCTTACTCGCACAGAATAACTCCATTCTTCAGGCCTTTCTGGAAGTCGGGCCCGATGGAAGCGCCAGTGGTGTCTTCGATCCAGACCCTCAGCTCCTCTTCCTTCTGAGTGTCATACTTCTGTGCGATCTGAATGGGGAGACAGGTCAAAGGTCACGTGTGTTCCACAAGCAGCAACAACAGCGACCTACTCGAAACAGTAAATGCATTCATAGTCTTTATTGCGTGACATTTAAGGTTCAGTGTGTAAGATTTACTGCCATCTAGCTGTGTAGTTGCAGATTGCAACTCCCTCATTTCACCCTTCCAAGTGCAAGAGGACAAACTGCGGTGGCTGCACAACGCGCAACAAATGTGAACACCCCTATCTAGAGAAAGGTGATACACTAATTAAATTATACCTGTGATTATATTCACTTTCTGTAGAATAGATCCTCCTAAATGTGACGCACAGGACCTTTGAGATTTATAATAGTTCCATAAACCAATCACTGCATCTGTAACAATGACACAACTGTGGATGATCATAACAGGTTAATATTTGTCCTTAAAAGTTTATTATGACTGCATGTAATCATGTTTCATGGTCGCCCCTGAAGTCGACATTGCCATGTCTACAGGGGGGGGGGGGGGGTTTAGCCCTCATAAATAAAGGGTGATGCCGTCGTGGCTTACACACACACACACACACACACACGGATATCCTGTTCAGTAAAGTGCTAAATTCTCCCCTGAAACACAGGAAGGCCATTGCTGAAGAGGGGAGAGGACGCAGAGTTTTAAAGGGTTTAACATGGCACAAAGATTGACATTCTAGTGAGGGTGTCACTGTCGAGGTGTTACACTGATTCACAAGCTTATTTTTGATTGATGACAGAAGTGTGAAGAGCATGCTTTGATGGCGCTCAAAGGGGCCTTTTAGGAAGAGCGCTGAGGTCACGTAAACAGTTACGTCTGCTGTTTGACAAACTGGAAAGCAGAAAAGAAGAAAACAAAGTCAGTGACTAAAACTGAAACAGGTAGCCTATAGAGTTCCTCTCATCCGGCGATGAATAAAAGGTGTTGAGCGAGCTTCGTGCAAACTCACAAACCAGCCAACAATCTCTCTCTCTGTCCCGAGGGCAACGAGAGGCTGAACCGCAGAGCTGAACTACTATATACATAGAAGTTGGCCGCATTTGCCTCACAGCTGGTTGTGCTCTTAAGGAATGTCTGTCTTCTAATTACATTTCCTTCATTCAGTTATCCCTATATTAAAAAACAACACTGGCTATTTTAATTGCCCACAAAGAATCCTACAGATGTAATTTAGAGAGACAAACTGAACGCAAGGAATGTGACCCAGGGTGGTTGGAGCAGGCAGGAGCTGAATGGAGCAGCGAGGGTGCAGAACTGTGTGTGTTAATGAATGATACAGACTGTGGTGATGCTCAGAATGTTGCTTTATTGCAGAACTTGAGTTCACCCTCTAAGCTTTGGAGATGCTTGCCGGGAAAAGTTTTCTTACATCAAAAGTAAAGGGGGGAAAAAAAAAAAAATGGTGGATTGAGGAGTGCAAATCTTTAAATGCCTCACATTTCACGGTGGAGGCTACGTCATGGGTGGCAGGAAATACCACTCCAGTCAGCATCTCTCTAGCCCCCCCACCCCTCACCCATCACCCCTTCAAGGACATCACTGGCAACAGAGGAAATCTACATGTTTTCTTTACGTCCGGCACATGTTGTTCTGCAGAGATTTGGGGAGGGGACTTGACCCTGTTTCTCCTATACAAGGGCAGAGCCAAGGAATGCAGATGAGGGGGGGAAAAAAAAAAACAAAAGTCAGCTGAAGGTGAGTTAAAGAAACACACATGCAGAGGGAGCAACGCCTTTACATCTCTGTGGCCCGATGAGCTGTGAATTAAATTCCATTTTAGTGAAAAGAGCAGGCGAGAAAGTGATGGGCCGAGGTAAAAGCCTGTAGTATTGCACAGTAACCACATTTATGCCGAATGTAATAATGAAAAGTGCTCAAGGTTATGCAGCTCAGTGCCATTGTGGTCAGGGAAGTAATCTCCAGCATCACTTCAGGTATTTTAAGTGGATCCGGGTGCACAGAGACAGGTCCAAATAAACAGGGTGCTTCACTCATCGAGGCCGCACTCAAAAAGTTACACATTACTAAAGTGGGCTCATTCTGGAGACTGATTTATTTGTGGAACTTCAGTCGACACAGGGGCTTTTTTTTTTTTTTTTTTGCATAGTGAAAACCTTTTCTGCACATGATCTGAGCGAGAGGAGGTTCAATCTAGGGAAGCAGCACGACCCCTTACCACAAGGAGGGAGGTCGGAAAGTATTCTTGCCATGTCTAAGAAGCAATAAATTAAAATTAAAAAAAAAAAAAGAGTCAGGGACGGGCAGTAATGGGGATGGATGTCATCCAATCCCGGCACCAATAGAGTGAATTACATTAACTGCTAATGAGGGTCACAACGCCGGGCAACACGCTGCACAGGGAGTAGAAAACGCTGGAAACGGGGATAACATTTTTTGCCACAACGACATACTTCTGTGCCAAGAGGGACAACGCCCATAGTCTGTTTTTAAGTTAGTCTACTGCGTGGGAAAATCGATATTCTGCTTTTAGAGGTGTAAAACTCTAAGATATATACTTCGCCAAGTATTCATACTCGGGCGAAGTTTTATTAAAGTTATGTAGAAGTCTGTTTGAGCTTTAAAAAACACTTTTAAAATGAGTCTCCGCACAGTTTTTCCATCCAGCTCTGACTACCTTTTAACCTGGGCACGAGTATCAAAATGGAGGCCAGGTGACTCCCACAGTCGCGTTCAGAGAAAAGCACAATGAGTGGATGATGGGAAGTAAAGTTCAATGCAACTAACTTTATTAGATATATATATATATATATATAAATAATATGTCCACCTACCTTGTTTTTCACCTCCGCTGATAATCCGTAGGCGGGACCTTTGTTAAAGGACATTGTCAAAGAGTTGTGATTTTTCTGTTTGCGTTAAAAAAAAGGCACTGACTTGAGGATAAAATCTTCGCTAAATTATCTTCGACTTTCTCTTCCAATGAAAACGGAGTGAACTAAATACTTCCTTTCTCTTTTACGGCCGCCAATTAGAGCGCTCCCACGGTTTCAGCCGAAGAGTTCCGATTCAAGAGTCAAGATAGTTCACTGCTGTTGGTTCGCCGGGCAGCTCGGGGATTCAACGTATTATACACAGTAGGTCTTTGTGTGGGACCTGGTGGGGGGGGGGGGATCAATACCCCCAATCAATATTAAAGACATCAACATGTTAGCATATGCTTGAGTGAAATAAGAGTATTGGATTACATGCCTCAACAAGGCTGCTGAAAGAACTTTAAGTGGCTTTGTCTAACAAGTGGCCCTAATGTAGTATATTTATGTCTTTGTTTTGTTCTGTGTCAGTTTGGGAGGTTGAGCAACCCAGAGGAGGAGACCTTCATTCAAAATGTTCACACAATTGGACACAGTATCTTTACATTTGACTATTTTTGTCCAACAGAATATAAATAAGAACATTTTATTCCTGGCAGTGTTTGTTTGGACTGGTTGCACAGTACACATTTTGACTCGTCACAGCAGAAAAAACACAAGTAGAGGAACAGGAACAGTAACGATGGCTCAGTTCCATGAAGTGTCCCAGTAACAGTGAACCAGTGAACCAGGAAGCAACCACTGAGTGCAATGCAGCAGTCATTATTAAACCTGTGAGTTCTCCTGCTCTGACATGCCCAAATATCTGCCGTGCAACCAGTCCAAATTATTATCACTATTATTATTTAATTAGGTGCATTGTCATGTATCACATGTGAATAGATGCCCATAGCACCCAGTGGACATATAATGCAGACAGAGAAAGTATAATGAAGGAGCCAGTCCAGAGATGTGATCAAATCGCTGCAGAATTGACACACATTTAGTTCTTCTTATTCAGAGTTACATACTGTCACCGGTAGGCACACTTTATAAGTCTACACTCAGAACAATTAATAAAACGACTCATTAACCCGTACAGAATTGTAAATGAGCTTCAGCAGTTACGGAAGCCCTCATACGAGTCCTCTTGTCTCTGCTTATACTCTTTGGTTATCCGCTTCGTTAATCGATCCTAGGCTCCACCTTTCCCCTTCTCTTTGCTTAGGTCGCGATTGAAATCAAAAACTCCTTATATGGAAGGAAACTTCCCAAATTCCTGAATGGTGGGAGTGATCCACCGGTCCCACCCTGCATACCAGACCGCGCAGTGGACCAGACTAATTGTCGCACTTTTTTGAGTCACTGCCGAGAAAAAAAAAAAAGTTTGGAGTTACTGTGAGCTACTGGGGTGACGTAATGTCGGTGCTATGGGGGTTTTAGATAGCAGATCCAACTTCACATGCCAGGATCTCTTAGTCTGCTGCAAAATAATGGCTGATATACAACACATTACTCGGCAGGATCGCTTCCTCGTTTACATATTAATGACACAGTGTATCATTCAACCGGACTGTGACACGGGAGGGCCAGGGGGGGGTTTCCTTTCTCTCTCTGCTTTCAGTTCCACACAGCGACAGCAAATCTGGTCTATGTGTGGCTTTTTCTGGGGAATGAAAAGCTAAGATGTATTTCCTCTTATGATAACAAGAGTTTTTCTCTGAAATGGGGACTCCAGAGCCAGGGAGACATAAGTAACTTGTTGGAAACTTCACCTCTTCACTACTGTTCTAAGTACAATGGGACATTATTGACTGCCCCTCCTAACATGAACATCTGGATAAGTATCAGATAATAAAGAGAGGAATGCAATACAGCTACACCAATATATGTGTTTTTAAAGGTAGCCTACTCACACACACTGTGTGTTTTGTTTTTCCAGACCAGCCATAATCATAGTTAAAGATGATAGGGCTACTGGTAAAGATAGAACTATTGACTACTGGGTGGTCAGGAAAATGAAACTGGCCAGAAGATGAAAAAAACTAGTTACATTAAAAAATGACATTTGTTTCTGCTGGTCTGGTTCCGTGGTGCATTTACTTTTCTAACACTTGGATAAAGTGATCTGTGTTGACATTTGGTTTTATTATGAGGTTGAGGAGCTTCTGACTGCTGAAATAAATCTAGAATTAAACACATATTACACATCTGTAATGTAATTGTGCTGTTTCGTATTACTACAGCTGAAATGATTAGTCAGTTAACTGCTGATTGACCAAAAAAATGGATCTCTTCAGCCATTTAAAGAAAAATGCACAGCATTTGCTCATCCTAGCTCCTTAAATGTGACGTTTTAGTGCTTTTCTTTGTCATATTTGATGGTAAGTTGAGTTGGTTAAGATTGTATTTGTTGGCTGGGTTAAAAAAAAAAAGTCAAAAACATCATATAGACAAAACAGTTCATTCACCAGAAGATTAATTGATAATGAAAATAAGGTCAACCAATCACAATAGCAGATTTCAGAACAGCTTCAGCCTGACGTGTTTTGGTTGAGTTGGAACACCTCATGACACAGGCTTGCCTACTCAACACATTCTATGTAGACAAGCAACTAATAATGACATAAGCCCAGCTGTGTCTGGACACAAAAACAGCTGGATCTGACGGTCTGTGGTGTGTGATTACATCATACAGGTGTGCAGAGGACTGATTCAGAGTCTGAGAGTAAAGCACACCCGAGGGGGCGACAGTTACTCATGCTGATATTGGTGATCAGGGTTACATCAGCTCACTGAGTCAGGGCAGGGAGTGACGTAGGTATGACACCCCCTGAGTCTTACACATGCAGGGACCCATGTGCAATCTCTGTTGGGGCTAATGGTGCTAATAAAAACATCACTTTTGTACATACAAGGCCATTAGAGGCTTCCACTGATGGAGGAGCTAAATCTTGATCATTTTATTTGGGGAAAAAAAATAAAAAATAAAAAGAGCCATATATTCTTTGTGGGCCGGTCTGATCAATCAACTCCCACTGAACTGGCATTACTTGTACCATGTCATCCTTACATCACATACTGAGGTAGACAAAAGGAGACACATGGATAATGTGCACCCCCACATGGATGAAGTGGGTAAGTACAGCCTAATGCAACTTCCAGTGAGGCTCAAAATAAAATGCAGAAGTGTACAGACAGACCGACAATTTAGTTTCAACAGCGCAAACTCTTCGAGAATGATGGCAGTCGTCGAACTCAACGGCCCTGTAAAAGACCCACAAGTCAGTCGTCTTAACTGAAGATTTAGATCATTTTATTTTTCAAACAATTGAGAGATGTTAAACACTGAACAAATAAAGATGCCCCAGTCAAACCTCCAGAAAACAGATTCTTATCAACCAGTTGTAGCACTTTTCCTTTATTGCCAGCTGTGTTGTTGTGCAGTTTCTCATTGTCTGCAGCGTCACCCTCGCTCGATCAGTGTATACAAAAAGTAACAGAAATGATGCATATACCAGCGTCGTGTTGATCACAGGATTTGGAATTCTCGCACATGAACCCAGGCTCCACCGACAGGCGTGTTTTGTGCGGGAGCAAATCCAGATTTACCGTTTTACCAAGGCACATTGGTAGGGATGAATGACTGAAAGAATGTATGGACAGAGAGGCTGCACAGAAGCCAATCTTAATTTAAATCATGTGAGAAAAAAAAAAAAAGTGATTTTGACTGAGTATAAAGGGAAAAATCAAAATTAAGTAGACGTTGTCACATGGAAAATGCCAAGAATATCGAATGCACGCAGCTTTCTCCCTCTCCCTTTTATGTTTGTTGAATTTAAAAAAGGAACCAAAAGAAAACGCTACCTCAAAGGGGCATCCTAAACCTTTTATGAACTCTCGAAAGCAGCAGCTAAACTTGTAATGTGTCTGAAACTCTGAATAAACATGAACTGTGGGACCATCAGTCACTATTCACACTTGAATCAAGTGAGTGATGAAATGACCAACAAGTTATCAACTGGAAGTCTCAATCCTGTACATTCAACTAAGGCTGTTAAACTCAGAAAAAGCTTGTGAAGGAATTGCAGACTGCAAACAATATCTAAAGGAATGGAAACAAAGTGATTCCTAGCATTCAAACCGGTCCTTGTTTTAGTCTCTAAAAATGCAATTATGGATCAGCACCATCTGATTTGACATTCTTTAATATTTTAAGCTTGGGAGAGAGAGTTTTTGATTTTAGTGGAATTTATTTTAAATGATCGCCTCACTATTTTGATGAACCCAAGGGATCTTTCAGAATAAAATGTCATCTTGGGAGTTGAGATGGTATGGACATATAGGATCTGTGTGATGCGACAGAGAGTGAGAGTGGGAGGTGGGTGGGATATGGAATGTTAATAACCAAATGCACTGGCCAATCTTAAAGAAAGACCTTGCAAACGCCCCTAACATTGAAGATTAGGCTGACAACATTATGATGCAAACAGAAAAAAAAAAAAAAAAAAAAAAAAAAAAAAAAAACATCTATACGTTTCTGAACGTCTTTGGATGAACGTCCCATAAATGAACTGGTCAAAATAAATAGATGTATACATGATACGTAATTTATAATTTACTCTTTATATCTCACATAAAGCTTCTTGTAACTGCCAAATATGCTCCAGTATTTCATACTCTGGACATGTTCAGCTCTACCTGTGCTAGATGAACTCTATCAACATCTTTCTGGGCACCAACATGGCAGTCCCGACAGGACAGCTAAACCCCAGCCTTCCCTCAAACTTAACCCTAGATTGTAATTCCTCATTTATAAAAATAGAAGGCTGAAGAGAAAACAATATTATCCCAGTGAGCCTGAAATAGGATAGGATTCAGAAAATCAAAAAATTCACATCATAACTCTATTTACAGTCATCTGGGACAATTCTGTCCTCTCTTTCTTGCCTTCAGTGTTAGTAGCAGCATTCTGCAACTAGGGCCTCATCATTCCTGTGGCTTTCAGTTTGAAAAATAAAACAGAAACAGCCCTTGGTATTACAAACTCAACTATTCTTTTAATCTTTACTCTTTTTATACCAAAATCTCAAAAGATTATCACAGAAAGAGAAGGAGGCACAGGGCGGGGGTTTAGCAGGCCTGGCTTTTGCCAAACTCACAGTGGACAAACAAAATCACAAAGTATCTTGTCTCTGTGGGGAGACAAAGAAAGGAGTGGAAAAGGACAGAAACCTTCCCAAACCCCTCAGTCTAGGCAAACGTATGGCAGGATGTTCAATTTGCTTTCATCCCCATGAGGGTCCAATGATATGCACTCTGTCCAATCATACCAGGTGCCCTTGGTGTCATAACAACCGTTCACCCCGGGCCAGTGCTGTGTATGTATCCTGCCGAGGTCCTCGTCCGTCACCTCCCGGCTCAAGCCCGGTAAATCCCCTACTGAGCTGTCCGTCTGCAGAACATGTATCTTCCGTGAGTCCTTGATCTCCTGTTCTTCCCTTTTCAGATACTCTGACATGAAAAAGTGTGCGCTAGGGGCCTGGACCCCTGAGGAGGTGAGCACATTGCTCTGAAGGTTCAAGTAGGACTGGATGATTTCATTTCTGGACAGCTCCTTCCAGTTCGTTTGATGGAAAGGGTTAGGGCCAGTACCTGGGGCTGGGGCTGGGGCTGAGGCTGAGGCCGAGGCGGGGGCAGGAGCTGGTACTGGAGCTGGTACTGGAGCTGGTACTGGAGCTGGTACTGGAGCTGGGACAACGGGCCGTTGTACAGTGCTTTCAGTTCTCTGTCTAGACTCAACAGGGTCAGGAGTGGGGGCTTCATCTGTTTGAGAAGGTTCTTTATGTACCAGAGATTTTATCTGGCCTGTGACGGGGTCAAATGTTAGTCTGCGCTCTTTTAACCGTACAGGCTTAGTCGTGTCCTCTATTTTCTGGCCGTCTAAGTTGACAGCGTAGTCTCTTGATCTGTACTTCCTCCTTTTATGCTCTGAGTTAGGGACCGTCGTCCCGTCTGTGTCATCTGACACAGATATGGCTCCCTCGGATGTCGGTCTGTGTAGTTCTGAGTTGTGTTGGGGATGAGAAGGTGAAAGGGAGACTGATGGGGATTCCAGTGTTACAGATATGTCTTGTGGTGGGCAATGAGAGGGGACTTCTGATGAACTAGCCCAGTGCATTGAAGATCTATGAGAAGAATGTGGCAGCTTGTCAGCGTAAGATGCTTGTGCAGGGGAGGATATGGGCTGGGGCAAAGACAAGGGGGAGTTCCTAGATGAAGGGCTTGGGATAGGTGTTGCTTTCGGCGCATATGCTGAAGAGCGCTTGGTCACTGCGTCTTGCTTCATGCTCCTAGGACTGGTAGTGAGGCCACGGGGACTTTTGGCTTGATAATAACCCCCTCCTCCTCCTCCTCCTCCTCCTCCTTCATCCAACCTGGCCTGTTGTTGCATCACAGCAACCTTGATCATAGAGGAAGTGCTAGGTAGTTTGGCTACTCCTGGGGAGCTGGGGCGAGGCTTGACAGCGTTCACCGGAATTCTGTTGATTTTATCATTATCAAGGTGCTCTATCCGAGATCTGTCAGGAGAAGGGACCACTTGTTGGTCAGGCGGGGCATCAGGACTGCCTGCAATCCCATTGGTGGGTGGTGGTGAAACAGAATTATCACATGAAGACATCTTGGAGATTTTTTCTGGTAAGTGCACTCCACTGTCTCTGTGCTCTGCTCGCCGTTTACGGCTGCCTGATTTCTCAGCTTTTGGTGAGTATGTGTTGTGAACATCGTTTCTGATTTTGACTTCAGGGACACCCTTCCCTGGCAGAGTAATGTCAGGAAGAGACGCCTCAGTTCTGCAGGGATGAGAACTGCCATTGGTGGACCCAGGGGCACTCGCAGCCACAGCGGGTCCAGGTTCAATCAGCTTTTGCCAGGTCCTTAAGAGTTTCTTAGCACGCTTGGCAAGGTCTTCATCCTTTGTCTTCTTCCTCACATCATTGATCAATTTTCCGAGTCGAGTTTCCTGAATAAATAAAGTGTGTGAAAGTTAGAAACAAGTTCAGCAACACAATTTCTACATGAAGTAGTAGTTCACATTTAGTCAACCATCTTACCTCAAGTGCTTCTTTGGTGATAGGATACTTTTCAAGGCAGGTAATTACCTCCAATACAGCCACCATATTGCATATCTGCAGGGAGGACACAAAGATTTTTTAATTACTTCATCTGTACTGTTGTTCGCACTAATATTTAATATTCATATATATATTAACAGAGGAATCAACTGTGGAAATTACCAACTGTTAAATGAGAATATTAATCACACAATCTTGATATACAAGAAGAAAATCGAACAACTGATACTCACATGATGAACCAAGTCTCCTACATTAATGTGATGGCTAGAAACACTCCAGGCTTTGGGAAAAGCTACTGAATCGTGCCTGCAACGTGTGTGAGTGTGTGGGGGCAAGTTAGCTTATAAGTTAGCTCGGGAAACATTAGCTTGTCTGCTTCAGATCGACGTTGAAAAAAAGTAAAGATGGCCAAGTGTCAACTCAAAGAAACACCATCACTGCAAACGTTTTGCAAAAGTGTAGCACCAGAGCCAAAACTAGGAGCCACAAGGTGATAAACTTTGATTTGAGCGACTTTCTAATCCTGTCGAGAAAGCCAACCAGCGTTTGAGTGTGGGCAGACTTACCTGTGTTAGCTGGTCTGGCTACCGCTAGCGTCGGACTAACTTGAGGAGGAAGGGTCCGACTATTTCCTAAAACGTAGCTAACAGTCAGCTAGCAGCTAGCTCCCACACTTCGGTAACAACCGGTTGTTAACGTGAAACGGGCCACAGCGAAACCGTGGCCGACTCACAGAGCATGCTGTTAATTTCACGGTGGAATGGGCATTTCCACGACACATGTTTGTATTTTAGACCTTCGAGACGTTAAACACGGTAAACCCGCTTCGGGCTAGGCTAGCAGCTAGCATGCTACATAAACCAGCCTAACCCAGGTAGCGCTTCTGCTAAGCTAGCCTGCAAGCTGTCAAATCAACAGCTCGGCGTCTCTCCGCCGTTCACAGTCGTTTGACGCGTCGGCGACGACCCAAATCGTACACCGCGCTCTGAAAAAACATCTAACTAAAGCGGGTAATTGACAGCTGGTGGGTGAACTGCCTCGTCGAGTTTGCCGGAGTGCAGGTAAACAAGCTAACTGTTAGCCACCTAGCTCGCTAGCCGTACTCACATTGCTCTGACTGTCGATGGCCTGCAGCAGCCGGTCCCTCATCTGCTGCGGGGTTGCTGAGACCGTTGTCATTGCCTGTTCGGTGCGATCCGGAGGATGGAGGGAGGAATCCTCCAAAATGTAAACCGGGTGACAATGATGAGTCAAAGGCCGGTGCGGTGACACGTCAGGCGTCCGAACAGCATATTCTTCTGTCGCCTGCAAGGTAGACGGCTCAGTTTTTCTCACATGGAGTAGGAGATGTGTGCGCTGTGTTGACCGATGGCTGCTGCCTGCTCGGCGCTCTAGCAACTCACTACCAGCTGCTGGATCTCTCAACGGCCTCCTGCTGCATGCTGGGATACGATGTATGCGCTTTGACGTCTGCACGTAGCCAAGTAAACATCCCTGGCGTCCACCTGCACTGCTGGGTAAACCCAACAGTGTTAAAGGTGCACCTCACTGTTTGTGTCATTTTTATTTTATTTTTTTTTTGTTATTGTAATTTGAAGAAATGTTGGGGCTGAAACCAAATATTATTTTAATTATTACTTTATTTTTTTAATTATTATTATTGAATTATCAATAAATATCAATAAAATGTAAAATGTGATGGGAGAGGTCCATCCAGATCCCAAGGTGATATATTCAGATTACTTGTTTGGTCTGACCAAGAGTCTAAAACCAAAAGGTATTAAATGACAAAAGCAGAGGGGAGCCAGAACCAGATCAAACCAAACTCAAGGAAAGTCCAAAAGATCACTCATTTTTCCATCATCTATCAGTTAGAGGCCTACAGGTTTTACTTTCCCTTTTTCTACTTGAGAAAACCATTTCAAAAATTGAGTTATTGTCAGTTTTTAGCCCAATTTAGGCTTATTTTTATTTTTATTTTAATCCATTATTAGCCTATATCAGTAACCAACTGACCCCACACACAGCCTCTATCAGCAGTCATACATCCCTGTTACATTTAGAACATCATGTAGACAGATGTAGACATTCAAATAAATGTTTGATATGGACGTGTTTACCACAATATATTAGTTATCATGAACGACGAGTGTTAGTGACTTTAGCTTGCAGCACTCCACCAGCAGATGGAGTTGTGCAGTTTCTAAAAGACTAAACAGAGCTTGTCACTGGTACAGGAGGAGGTCGAGCACAGATCGATTAAGTCAGGATGCTGCATCACTGGACCAGATTGATTGTAAGACACTCTTGAGCCATTTGAGGGCAACAGTGATGGTGAAGCTCAGTCTGAGTGTGACTGCTGAAGTGATTCTTTATGGGGATCAGTACGTTTTTGAGCTTGAATGCCAAACCTAAATTCTCTAAATTTAGAGCCTTTAGAGAATTTAGTTATTAAGTTTATAAGTGGCTAAATATCTACAAACAAAATTTAAAATGTTTCATATTGTTTGGTAATTTCATTGAAGACATTGTTTATATTAGTATTGGTATTAGGGAAGCAAAAATGAGAGAGACATTTTAGGATTTGTTGTAATAAAATAGTCTTCTTGACTGCCAATAAATGATAACCTTTACACATAATCATTACAATTGGGGTCATTACAGTTATAACCTGGTGTAGAAAAGACAGAAGTCTTACTACCAGTCATCTTGGTCCGTACTTTTGTTATACCAATCCCACGGACAAAATGTCCAGTGGCAACTCATTAAAATGGTTAGTGTGGACATAGTGGGAGAGGCAGGGCAAATGCTGGGCGGGAAGCTGTGGAGTGGGTGAGAAAGTCTAAGTTAATGCCAGTTATGGGGGCTGTAATCATCATGCAATTCCTGTTTTAGTCCATTGTTTTCTAATGCCTTTTGTATTCCACCTAATGACAAAAATAAGACAATGTAAGAAATGTCTTTGCTTATTCAGATATATTTATTTTCATTTCATTTACAAATAATAATGCAAAGATACAAAGACAGAAGCCTTCACACAAGTAAAATACATCAGGTACAGTTCAAACAAAAGCGTATTCCATCTTTAATGTAGCACACATTTACAGCCAACTTGGATTCTTTTGGTCCGATTTGACAGTTAAAATAGAAAACACACAATTTGAAGAACAAGGTTTGAACCATAATTTTTAAAGGGTTAGCTCAAAAAAGTAACAACTTGCCAAGCTGTGCTGCAGGATGCTAGATTTTGCATATTCTATGAGCATAATGTTTCCTGTTGCTGTGAGTGTACTATAGGAGCATAGTGCACCCCTTCACGGCAGTAAAATGCATGTGCAGTGTTTAGTATCACTGTACTCAGAAACAAAATACATTTTATACAATTTAGCTGCCATTGTATGAGGCTTGAACCAGCAGTGGTTCCTCAAAATGCACACAAAGGATTCATAGATGTTTGTGGGTAACCCACTGAGTGACTGTACACGCCTATGACTCCGTTTCACCTTCCTGATTCAGTTTGTGTTTTAACTTGTTGCGTCACAAAGTCAATCTACATATATCTATATATATAGCCTGACTGTACAGTATTTGTATCTGCTATTTCTTATGTTATTTCTTACTGTATGTATATGTTATTTCTCAGACAAGATGTATATAGTGATACCCACTACAAAATAGTGTAGAGATTTATAAAACATAGGCAAAACTAAATACTTAATTTAAAGCAAAAAAACCAACATGTCAAGGTATTTTCTGAGATATTTTGAAATTCAGCATCATGCAGAAAAGAGACTTCTCAGGTAGTGGACTGGATATATGAGTCGCATCTCTTTCAAGTTATGCTATTACGTTCAATGTAAACAATGCATTGATGAGTTCATAGTTTATATGAGAAGTAATTTGTACCCCAATAAAGTATTCTGAAAAACAAAGGGAGAGGATGTGTTTCAACAGTTAGAAGGATAAAATGTCTAAGTATTCTTTCATTTATGGCTGTTTTGAACTTTGGCTTTTTGGTTCAACCATTGATATAACACACACAAAAAAAAGAGAAGATACAGTGCTGATGACAAATTTACTGTCAAACTAAATTCAGTAAAATCTAAATAGTACCTATTCTGTAAAAAAAAAAAAAAAACTTCTGATGACATGTAGCTGCTCATAGCAAGTACACAGAAAGGGGAATTTCCGCAGAATAAAAGTCTATAAATTATTAAGTTGCTTTAAGGACCTCGAAATGCATAATGCATAATTAATTCATATAACTTTAAAAGCTCATCAAATAGAATATATATCGTTATTATCATATAGTTGAAATTATGGTCATACAATCAATTCAAATAACATTACTGATTCACTGTTAAATTCACATGGCAAAATAATTTTGCTATTCTACACTGCAAGTGGTTCATATTTAGTCTGTTATTCCATATACGGTATCTAACAAAGTTGAAACATATTTAAGGAGAGAAAAACAAACATTGCTCTGTTGTAAACTCTTGTCTCTGTAAACACTGGTATAACACCAATGGATACCTGAACGTTGATGCATAAAAAGGTGGCAGTAACAGGCGACACGTCAGTCAGAGCTATCTACATGAGCACAAAAAAGTTCAAAGAAACACCAAAACAGAAAATGGACCTACAAAGATGTCAGGCTCACTATAAAGTCTGAGGTCCAGCAGAGAATATAGAGCCACAATGACATATTGCAGCACAGTATTTCTCAGTGCATTTTCTCACTTTGACATCATATCACATAAAGCACGAAAAACATTGTTCCTACCATACAGCAATATACAAAGCTAGGCTAGATTTACCATGACATAATAAAACTCTGTGGGGGTTTGCACAGAAAATAAGCACACACCGTATATTGTAGTGTAAAACATAGTACCAAACAACAGCTTCTACATGTGCATAAAAGGCAGATTACCATATTTCTGATGCTTTTAGGCTTCACTTAGCAAATACATAGCCTACACATGACGCTGAAGTAAAAAGAGACAGAGGACAATATCACCAAACGAGAAAAACAAAACACTCAGACAAACAAAGCCCCACCCTTCAAACGAAAGAAAAACCCAAGCCATAAAACATGTCCAGAGATTCATGCAGTCACAACATTGTTAAAATAGAAAAGAAAAACTGCATCAAAACATGATGCATTCAAAACATGAGAGTATTTTCAAAAAAAGAAAAAAGAAAAAACAATCTTCAAGCTCAACAACTTAATTCCAACTGATTGGATAACATTTGTCCGAACAGTTTTGATTTACATCATGTAGGAATAATGGTGAAATATGCTGGCACAGGAGGACCTTGACACACATCAACAGACACAATGTTGCAGCTATAGAATAGCCTTTTTTCATAGTGTGGAATATATTGATGGGAAATGACGATATAGTGTCCTAGAAATGAACCTATATTCTTTTTATAGGCATTTTGACAATAATTACATCTGGACTGAATTACAATATGAATTCCATAAAATATTTTCAGGGATTGGTTGATCCCATCTGGCACAATGTTGATAATATGCCCTGCAAACTTCAAATGTACTCATCTGAGAAATCCCACTATATTGTACCTGTATCTATAACTATTTTAATAATAAACTTTTAATTTGTTAATCAGTGATTCATTATACACGTTTTTAGTTTAGAGCTGCAGCATGGGAACATGGCCGACACACCTCTTATCGCCACTGTCCCAAAATACAAATGTTTTCCTAAATTTAGGAAAAACTGTTTAACAGTTGACAGCTAACAAAATACTCACGATTAAGTAAAAACAGCTCTGTTAAATAGACTATCTGTATATGACTTTTCAAAAATAACTATAATTTAATTTAGCATTTTTTCTTTTTTTTTTTTTTTTTTTTTTTTACAAGAAGGCAAGTTTAATTAAAGACAGGGCACACAGGTCCAGTGCACATAACAGTCACGGGGGGGTTGGTATATAAACTCTCAGAAATCAGTGTTTAAAATGAATGCATAAAGTGCAATATGAGATATGGGACACGGTTATGAATGAATGAATCCAATGTATTCACTCACCGAGAAACACACTGACTTTACAGAGGTTTTTTTTAAAGAGCAAATGTTTGAAGCTAGTATAAATGCAGAACGGAGAGACATGAAACACATCGATATATGGCACACACAACACGAGCTTGACGAGGAAACGGATATTCAGTGTCAGTGTAGTGCCAAGGAAACAAAAAAGTCATAATATATAAAACTTAAAACAGTATTCTCCTTTTCAGGGAGAAAAATAACAGGTGAAATATATTTGGTCCTACAGTACATAAAGGCTAGATATGAGAGGCAATGAGGATGACAAGATGGAAACAACACAACTGTACAGATGTGACCTAAATACATTCTCATTGCATCAACAATGCTGTTCTAGTATAGAGGCAGTTCAATTGTCTGGAAAAATATATATATTTCAACTACACTGAGGTCACATCTTTGGGAGTAATCCAGGAGAGTTTCTACTGTATGCCACCACACTCACTGAGCCTTTTTCTCTCTCTACTATCTGAAAGAAAAATGTAAAGAGTTTCAAAAGTATCAAAAGAAATATAACATGGCACCATCGCTGTGCATTCAATAAGAATCTTGCACATTGGCTTCTTTTTATAAGGGTTCATTTTTTCTGTTTCATTTGACAGTCCTAAATCAATCGCTGTAGTTTTGCATAGATACCATTACGCAAAATCTAATCACATTCTGTACATGTAAAATATAAAACAAAACAAGCCTGTAAACATCTATTTCTTAACAAAGAACCAATATATCCATTTATATTTGACTGATAAATGAATATGGAAAACAACGTGGTAGTGACGATGGATGAAATAATGGATAAAGATCAGCACACCTCAAAAATACAACTACAGTAATGCAACTTTGAATGATGTAGGCCAAACCACCATTAAAACAGTACAGATTACAATTAAAATGTTTTTTTTTCTTCTCATTTACATAATAGTCAGCTTTGCATGAAAACCAAAATGTCAAGCTATTAAGGCAAAACAAGTATGCACAGTGATCTGTGATTTCATGCATAACTGATGACTGCTATTTACTATGGTTAAAATCAAAATTCAGCATCTCCTAAAAATAACTTAGGTGGCAAAATCATGACTCATCATTACTGAAGACTTTGGAGGAAATTTGGGAAAAATCAAACCCGGTCTGACTTTGGCTTTTATGACAATCCACACGGGGATTAGCACTAAATAAACATCCAAACTGAATGTACTAGTGAGAACTTGGCACAGAAGGAGGTTTAACTTGATCAAGCTAATCTATGGCAAGTTATGGGTATTGGTAAGGGTTTGCTCTGCAGACACGGTTTAGTCAGTCTTTGATGGAGAGTAAGAGACTAGGCTCCTTCTGCTCTCATGATTAAGCTTCCTCAAATGAGGCGTTTAACATTATTTAAAATTGGATGTGTCATTTGCAAAAAAAAAGTAGACAGAACCATGAACATCATTCATACCATAACTTGAATGCCATCAGTTGTAAGCCATCTTTCCGGTTCTGAAGAAAAGGGCCGCTGGCCGCCATCCATTTCAATGCATTTTTCTACAATGATCGTCTCTTTTAAAAGCTCTCTTGTGGGGGTTTGATTGTGTTTGGGTTGATTTGAAATTGATGCTCTGCCCTGGCAAGGTCTCAACCAGCACGCTTCAGAAATCTGCATCTCTTGGTTTTATCCTCTCAGATGTAAACCTCAAGCTTAACCCCGGGGCAGCAGCCTCAACACACCTGTGCAGTGGTTAGAGCCGGTCAAGGCGAAACGCGTCCTCTGTGGCGGGGTCAGCAAGGACCATGTCCGGGTCATTGAGCATGTGCAGGCCATCAAGCGTCAGTGGGTCAATTTTCAGATCGTCGAGCGGGAACTGGGAGTCAATATCAAAGCTGACATCTGTGGACAGCGAGCCGGTCAGGTCCTTGGGCAGGCTCGGGGGAGACTCTCCACTCACTGAGCATATGGAAGAGAGCAAGTTTAAAAAAAGGATTAGTAGTTAAAGGCGTCAGTAGGCAGATACTTAACTCTGTGAGGTTTTAAAGGGGAGAGGGAAGGTGGTTAAAATTAGAAAATAAATCAATGGTAGCAAGAGGAGACAGAATGTTGACAAGTCTGGGTTATGATTAGATAATAACTTTCTGTAAGAGGCTTGACATCGTGACATCTTAATTACACATTTCAGTAAAGAAAATGTTAACAACAGACACTGCTAATTTTTAGAAACAACTGAAGGGAAAACTCAGTGGGACTGAAAAGTCCTGTTAAATACAATTTTAATAGGTTTATCCATGGATATGCAGGGGTTTAAGGTGGGAATTTGAACAGCATTTTTTGTTGCTGTAACTGTCACTTGTGATAAATTGATCAGGAAGGATGGGGCACGTACGGTTCTATAGACTCGGAAAATAACTTTCTTACTTGAGGTGGAATGGGACGATATACAGTATTATCACGTATTACGATAAAAAAACACTTTTGCGTTTTGGGGGTAATCGTGGATATCCTCTCGAGTTACTAGAGAAAGCTTACTAGCTCTGTAACATACATTCCTATATTTATTTCCTGTTTTTGGTTAGTCACAGGGAGAGCATGCATCTTTCATTCCGAAATCCTAAGCCTGTCACCAAGGCAGAAGGCCCATTGTATCCCTCACAAAAATGGAGAAAAGTAGGAAAAGTTCAAATTCTATAGATTTCAAACTAAAGAATGAGGTGTTTTATTTGTGATGAAATAAAATATTTGTTACTTAACAAAATGTAAGGTAAACATTTTACAATTTTAGTATTTTAGTATGTTTAGGTGTAATTTCAAGATTCTTAAGCATATTTAGTTATTATCAGGATAATATTATGAATTGTGATTATTTTGACCAGGATAATGGTGACATGAATTTTTCATATTGTCCCATGCCTTCTTGGCAGAAAGTTCAATAATTAAGCACTGCTTTCTCTCAAGTGTGGGATAGTTCAGCGTTTTAGCTCACACTATTACTCATTTAGTAATTGCCTTCAAATACGTTATTCGCCCATTGCATGAGTGGCAGATTAACAACAATGCCAGGCCATATAAGGCCAGTTTATTTGGTATACCAGTAATACTGAATGTATGATAACAGCTCAGCAATCACATCTTTGTGGAGCTGAGAAACTGTCACTACATCGGCATACAAGAAAATATGAAGCAAAAGCTTTATTAAGTTTAGGGGTTTGGAAATCTCTAAAAAAGGTTTTCAACACAAGCAACAGCATGCCAGAGTTTTCTACAAGCCTCTTGTTGCAAGACTTTAGTGAACCACATCATATGTTGAAGCAGAACCTGTGAGAATGATGTTGGGGATGTTGCCATGGCTACTGTAGCCCAGCTGCTGCGAGTCCTGCAGGTTGCAATGGCCACCCGTCAAACCCATCATAAGAGCCTGGGAGTAGTTGAGGGTGGAGGTCTGGTTATACAGGCTGTCGGAGCTGATGGGGGTTTCAATCATGTTGAACTGCTCCAACTGGCAATCACAACAGAGAGAAACATCACAACTGTGGCTGTGGTATCTGATATATATTCGCTCTGAAGCAAGAGCAGGTGGTGAGAAGAACTAAATTTGGATATGTAGGCTTTCGTCTGACCTGTTGTGAGAGAGCGCTGGCCTGAATCGATGGGAGCTGCTGGTCATAGAAGTCTGCAAACACGCTGCCCAGTATGGAGTTATGCTGCAAAAACAAACAAATTGGTTTAGACTCTGGTGAAAACTCCTGGTGCGGACCATCAACAATGAATATTCTCCATCCAGGCTGCAGAAGTTATACATTTAACATAAAATGTGGAATATGAAAAGGACACAGTCAAAGCAGAAACAAGACTGGAACAACAAAGTGCTTGATATCACCTCATAACATCTGGAAATGTCATTCTTTTAAGATCAATTTGCTAAATCACAGTCTTCTGCGTGATATAATATTTGTGTAAATATTGCATATCAAACATAACTTAAATGTACACTGGCAGTATAAAGGACACACAGAAGAAGCAGTAAACAATCATGTAATCAACATATAATTCAGAAGCAACTTCTTCATTCTCAGCGGGTGTTTAAAGCAAGACACACACACACAAAACATGAGACAGTTCACCGAGGAAGTTGTAGCCTGCTCGTTCAATAATAAATGTAAATGAAACCCGGAAATATTTACAAAGTCCTGCATTATTTACAGTATTTGTTTTGATATACAGATGTAGGAGGCATACTGTACATCCACTATCACAAGAAATTATGCATGAATATTTCATAAAGAGAGCTGCTTAAAAAAACAAACGTGCTACATTGAAAGCATTTTTCATCTCTAGAACACTTAAAAATTGAATGATAAATTGAAAATATTTTTTGGTGCGTAATAAGTAAACGAAATAAATGACTAAGTGAATGAATAAGCAAACAAACAAATAAATAAGGGACTTGATTAATTGCATGAATAAGAATCATTCCATAATATATATATATATATATACTATCATCCCAAAGGTCAATATACACTAAAAACTGACCCAACTCACCAAATGTCAAATATCAGTCAGCTAAAGATACGAACGGGGACACCTTACTTTGCTTCCACATGAGCCTCCCCTGCTGCCTTCTGGCCTTGGCGTTTTAATTAACACCAACCAAATGGAATAAAATTCACATGAAATAAAGGGAATTATTGAAAATATAATCCCCTTTGTGACTTTATTCTCTCTCCACTGACTCATCCAGTGCAAGCTAATTCTCTTGAATTTCTCATTTGAATGTCCTCACTGAACCAGCAACAGAAGTTCTCCTATTTCATCGTGGCCTCTTAATGTATAAGTAATTGGATCATATTCTCAGCCCGTGCTCCTCCTAGTTCAAAACCAAATTATCTGTGTGTGCTGCAGATGTCCCCGCAGGGCAGAGCAGGATAATAGAGCACACAGCTTGTCAGTTGTGGTTTAGCCCGTGGATAACCTCGGGACTATGAGTGAGCCACTTCAGCTCAGCAGAGAATTGAGCCGGGTAAGCAAAGAGCAGGACAAACATGTAGAAACGCATACACACAAGGTATATCATCACTGTCACTTGTAACATTTCTTTTTTTCGGCATCTCAAACACACAAAGTCACACTTACAGTTCGTCAGGAGCAAATGCTTGTTTAAAATGCTGTCTAATTTGGTTGAGTAAAGGCTTTATATATTATATATGTTTTGAATCTAATACATTTTTTTAGGGAATGTTTTCCAAAAACACTTTGGGAGGTTACAACTATAAATGATTAACAGAAACACTTCCTTACCATGGTTTCAAATCTCAAATGCTTACACTGAGTCTGACACAGATTAACAACCCTGATCCATGTTTACCTTGGGTGTGTTTAGTTTATCTTAAAGTGCCGCCCTGCAAGCAAGGTTCAGTTTGTTGAGATTTAACCATAGGAATGATTAGCAGTTTCTCCTCAAAAAAGCTTTTAGGGGGATTACCATCTCACCTTTCATGCTACCTCAAATCCCCATGCTGGTTCAAAACCACAACAAACACAAAGATCTGATGAACATAAAAAAAACTCCAGTACAGAGTCTTAAATAGCAAGACTGGGGAGGAAACAGTGAAAATGCAATGCAAATACCACAAAAGCAGCAGAGAAGGAAAGTCAGGGACACAGCTACATAACAACACATCAATGACACTGAGTGTTTAAAGAGACTGGTGGTCAGATCTGGGCAAAACAGGGATTAAATAGACTTATATCAGTATTTAATGTTAGCACCTATTACAGTAATCATATTATGACATGGGTTTTAAAATTGTAAATTGTAATATACAGTTTTTTTTGTGTAACTTGTTAAACATTACAAGGTCATTATTTTCTCACAGAATTTTTCCTGAAATACTTGACAACATTTAGTTTGACTTCCTTTTATCAAGTCAAAGCATGACTTGTGTAATTACCAATGTTAATTACTTGGTGTAATTACCATTAATTATAGTCTTGTGCAAACTTCCACGGAAAAGAACACCTGTGAATTTCCTGCTATGACATGTTAAAATGTCAGCTATTAAAAACTGTAATGCATATTGATATCAGAAGGTCCTCTTATTACCATAATTTCTGTCCACTTTTTCCCACTTATATATTTATAGAGGCAAAGTAACTAAGTAAAAAGGTAAATATGAATATAAATACCTCGAAAGAAATGATTAAAAACTACTAAACTAATTTAAGGTAAAAAAT